TAGTGATGGTCTAGTTGCACGACTTTAAACTGCACGGTCCTAGCAGCATGACTTTAAACTGCACAGCCATAGTCTAGTTGTATGATCTTAAACTGTAGTGCACGTTTTGACCACATGACGTTAACAGGCTTAGCACCATGGTCCAAACTCTATGACCTTAAATTGTAGCGGAGTCCAAACTCTATGGTCCTCGCCGCATAACTTTAAACGGAATAGCCACGGTCCAAGCTACAAGACCTTAAACTTAACCACGTCCCTGTAGCAAGACGTTGAACGGCACGACAAGTAACCCATTCGCACGACTTTAAGCTATGAAACGGACACACCTCTCCACCGGGTGTATTCTACCACCATCCTCATGGGGTTACACCTGTGCTCCCAACTGTAATTCCCAATGAAGCTGCATGCAAACCATTGTCCCTCATCCCCAATAGGAGTCATATCCATATTGCAGCCCATAATCCCCAATGGAGTTAAGGTCATTCTTATCTCTCCAATCCCCAATGGGGTTACATCTGTGCTCTGGTATGCCATTCGCAGTGGAGTTACATGCATACCATTGCCCATTATCCTCGTGAAGTCATATTTACCCTATTAATCCCTAGTGAGTCTGCTTCTCACCAAGCTATTGTTTCCCAAGGAGCTTTACTTATATGGCAAGCCGCTTAAATAGTTAAGGTGCACGACCGTAAACTGCATGGTCCAAACTATATGACCCTAAACTATAGCAGAAGTCTAGTTCCATGACCTTAAACTGCATGGTCCTAGTCGCCTAACTTTAAACTGCACAACCATGGTCCAAGCTATATGACCTTAAACCATAGTGCACGTCTTGGCCGCATGACGTTAAACTAGTTTGCACAGGTCTAGGAGGCATGACCTTAAAAACTCCCCCACACATGCGACCAGGACGTGCACTATAGTTTAAGGTCATACAACTGTACCATGGTGGTAATAAATGGCAGTCTGTTGAGACCATGGAGTTAGTATGGTGGTGGTTTTGGCTCACTTTGGGGAGATGGCACGAGGTTGCCTATGAAGGATTGATGATGTATGAATGGAAGATGGACAGTGGTGACCCACTAGCTGAGGATGAATATGGATGACGAATGGTTTGCCATTTTGTGAGCATGGGTGAAACTCACTGGAGAACGATGGATGATGGTAATTAAGTGAATGGACTCATTGGGGAAGCAATGAAGGTGGTGCGCGCACACAATCGGGTCCGTTAGGGAGGGCGTGCATGAAGATGCACGTAAAGGGAGTGTGAGGACTTCAAATGTATTTTTTCTCATTCGATACATATTGAGGTCGACATGATTGATTTGAAGATTTTTAGGTATCGAAACAAGTTATTCTGGTGAGTTTTTTATGTGCGTCTTAATTTGATTGTTTAGGGCATCACGCTTATATAAAATTTTTCTTTAAAATAAACTAGTATTTACTTGTGGCAATTGTGACTGAGGTCATCTCCACTGTCCATTCAGACTAGATAGATGGGATAGGGGTGACATATATAAATTCCCTATACCTAGTCGTATAAAGAAAGCTTTCCCAATAATAAATTTCCAACTAAAATTATCTACAAGTTTTCGAAGCTGCTATAATGGTAGATTTCTAACTAAATAACTTGCTTCTAAGCAATCAATCTCTTTTAACATTATTATCTTGTAATTTGAAATTGCTATATTAATTAAACTATAATTTTTACATTTTAAATACAAATAAATCTTTGTAAATCAACCTATGAGATTATAAATAATGTATAAATCTATTTTTTATTTCAATGGAATGTAACTATTTTTTATAGATTATTTTCTTTTAAATATACAAAAGAAAATAAGTTTCTTTACAATAGTCTAAAATATGAATTTTTTGTGGCTAACTTTATAGATAGACCTGATTTTTCAAAAAATCTATATTAAAAAAAATCAAACATGTTGAAAACTGTCTTGTTGCTCATTTTAAAACATTTACTTAAACTGTTATGAATAATTTCGAACTAAGATTATCTAAAACTTTTATAAGGTTCTATAATGGTAGATTCTTAATTAAGTAAATTTTTTAAATAAATAATTTTTTAAAATTATTTAACTAAATAATTTTTTAAAATTATTATCATGTAATTTGGTATTGTTATTAATGGTTAGATTTTAAATTTTTAAAAATAATTTTTTGTAAATAAAATAATAACGATGCAGTAGTTCAATCCCTCTAACATTATGTTGAGAAGCCTCACCGTCAAGCCAATATGATATTACAACAAAAGAAAAAAATATATATATACATATATGTATTTGTTTTAAACTCCGTCATGGTTAATTCCAAGTCAATCATGCCCATCCCAAGCCCAAATAAAAGAGGGTTGTGTTAGGCAGGCAACCAGCGTAAAACTTTACCACTTCTTTTAAGGGATTCACTAAAGGGTTCAAAAATAAAAGTTCCATCTCCATCCACCAAGGCACCAATACGTGTGTTGTGTGTGTATATGTATGCATACTTTTTCTATTTTTCGTTTAACTTCTTGAACTTTGGGTGATGAGTGATGAGTACTCACCCAGGTAACTTGCCTCAGCGAAGGGCGAGGGTGAGTTGAGTCCGGTTCCTTAGACATAATTTCACCTTGGCTGAGTTGAGTCCGGTTCCTTGGACATAATTTCTCTTGGAGAAATACGCCACTTCTAAATGTTTTTTTTTTCCCTTCTCTCTCTTTTGTTCTTTGGTTACAGCCCCATTTAAATGTTTTTTTTCCCTTCTCTCTTTTGTTCTTTGGTTATATCGCTGACTAAAGTGTACAAGGCTTGTTATTTTAATAATTTAAAGTTTTTTAGAGCTCAAGGTATTTTATGCTTTCATTGTTTAGTACTTTCGTAATAGACTGGGCTTGCCGAAAAATGATATTGTTTTGGCCAAATTTTTTGAAATCTCAAGGGTAATAAAAACTTAGAGAACTTATGCAGAGTCGATTTAAGGTTAGGAGGTGGGCTGGTTTGATGAACCTCATTCCACAATTCTTTAATATTTTTTTTTTTTTAAAGGAAAAAAGTGGTTAATGGTCTTTTTAATGTATCAGTGGAAATAAAAACCACAATATGCAACTGATATATAGTAGAACTGATATATGAGGTGCTACTACCAGGATCAACCCCCTTCCCTGAAATTTTAGTTTTTACTTTCTATTGTATCCACATGGCACCCACTCAGGGATGTCCAAGTCAGACCATGTCGAGTCTGAGCCTAGAGGATCAGGGTTAATTTTGATGTTCAAATTACTTGCTATAAACAGGTATGTCCTCAACCAAAATTAATCCTATTCGAGTGATAATTGGGGATTTATTGGTAACCATGTCTAATTATGTCCCTCCATGTAGGAAATCTTGGCCATTTCAATGTCAATCATACGCAGAATTGGGCATTTTCTTTTCACTCAGCTCTACTGCTCGTCAGAACTTTGCCAATCAACTTCTTCCTCTCTACAATAATAGACCTCACTCCAGAAATCGACTTCTTTCTCTCTACAGTACTAGATCTCAACAAGCAAATAGAGGAGGCTACTTATTTCGTGCTTTCCTCTGTGTACGGGATTTCTCCACAAACCTCTTTCTCTACAACAAAAGATCTCAACAAGAAAATAGAGGCTACTTATTTCGTGCTTTCCACTGCACTTGCGATTTTCCAGAAACCATAGTCCTCACCTCTTCAACAATGGATCTCAAGAAACGGCATCACCAGAACATATATCTAGCTTTAAGTTCGACAAAACCTTTGCCCTACTCCCTTTTAATGCTATCATGTCATTCGTGACTGTCCGGCTTGATGATACAGAAAGTGGTCCTGTGCCTGCTACTATTTTTCGACATCATCCTAACTGCTTCAACATCTTTCTTGGTTTAAACATTGTGGCCTTCATTGCCTTTTTGGCAGGGAGAAGGCTCCATCACCATTGTCATCAAACCTCCAAAATCCTCAGCAAGGCTGCCGCCATATGTGTGGCCTTGGTATTCAGTCTAATGTTTTGGGTCTTACTTCCTACAGGTTTCCAATAGATAGCCTGCCGCTCAGTGCTCCCTATACTCACTCCATTGATCAGCATTCTCTATGGTAGGCTTGGTTATGGGGCATAAACAATTGAGAATTCAGCAAAACAGGGCCTGGATTACCTGCATAAATCATCCGGGTGCTGTAGAATCTTGGGGTCGCGGTTAAGTTTCTGGGCCAGTCAATGTTTATATTTATGGACCAGTCTTGCCAGAATTACCTAATATAATTAATTGATAAAACTTGCTTGTCTTTGAACATAAAGATAGGGCAAAATAATCAGTTATTATTGTACTCATGAGTTTCTAATGTACATCAATTTATGTAAATGAATTGTATGGTCCAATTCCATCTCTTTAATTCCTACAGTAACATCTAATTCCATCTCTTTTCATACATATCGAGAGAGAGAGAGAGAGAGACTGGACATAGCAGATCAAGAAGGAAAGCATGACAAGGCTGCAGCCTCCAAACGGGAAGGCTATTCACATAATCAAACAAAAATTTCAATTGTAGACCAGGAAGCAGTAACTTTTGTTCAATTTCCTGATCTTGATGCCTTGCGAAACATGTCTTTAATATTTAGTGACCCTGTCTCAGTTTTCTTCTTCTTGGATTGTCTCCCAGTTCCTGTTCTAGTCCTTCCCTTTTCATCTTGCACCTGACAAGTTGCAAGAAATACACACAAGGGCCCATATGCATATATAAGAAAGGAAAATACAAATAGGTACTTTGCGTATGAGAAAGGGAAGATGAAACTGTCAAAAGGGGAGATACCAGAGTGCTTTCGGAAGCAATTGGAAGGATATCAATCACATCCGATTTCACAGCATAATCCAAACTTATACTGCAAAAACCAGATGATACCACCAATGTCATGTTGTGCTTAAAAAAGCCTTAACTGATGATCTTAGTCTCAATATTTCTTGCTCATAAAATAAGACAAACGAACAAATCAATAAAATATCTTATGACACTAATCAGAGCATGAGGGTTTACCTTAAATGGCTGCATAAAAGTCTTATCCAAGGTTCCTCACTTAGATATTCTCCCAATAATGAAACAGCATCACGCACTATGCATCAAGAAATCAAGTAAGAACAAGGCAGCCAAATCAATATGGAAAAAGTGTCACAAATGGCAGTAGACCAGGTGTGGAAAATCATGAAACCATATCTTAGAGAACTGCTTCTGCTCTAGGGAAAGCAAAGAAACATGATATGAATATATGGCAAAACTTTAGCCCCCAAAAGAGAAACTGTATGACAAAATGACATTAGTTATTTCCTATCTAAACTATCGGCAATAGAATGGTTTCTAAGGAAATAGACCAGTTGAAATCCTCCATCTGCTCTTCTTTCATCTAGTTACCATGGGAGGCTTGAGAATGCTTTGTACTTGTAGATAACACTTGGATAAGTAATACCATTGTCTGCATTCAATGGACACTCCTTTCTAATTATTAACCACTCACGGGCATGTCATGCTGTAATTGTTTGGGAGGCACAAACTGTTTTCTGAGACAAATTAATTCCAGATTTAGGTTAATTGTCACGATTAGGATCAACATATAGATTGTTTCCACGAGGCCCTATATTGTGATGCCATGCTCTTGCTCTCAATTGCTACTCACCACCTACAGCAACTATTACCGATTTCTGCTCTATTCTTATAAAAGTACAAATAAAGTAGGAAACTGTGAAAATAGTTGGTGCTATGGTTTGGTACTCCGTACTTCAATCGAAAGAACCAACAATATGATGGTAGAAGCATGGCGAAAACAAGATAATCTCAATCCAAAGCATGATTATACAAAAATGTCATGTATTCGTTTTTTTTTTTTTCTTTTGACAAATATTACTACTTTTATTGAATACTAATTAAAGGAAATTGCATCATTAGAGATAACAAAAGAAGGTAAAGAAGCACCACCCTTTGCCAAAACATCAGCCACAGAGTTTGCTTCACGATAAACATGAAGAAAAGAGACCGACATGGAGGGCACCAAATCCATAATTTGCAACCATAAGGGCCGCAATTCTCATGGGACACGTTGTTCCTTGTTGCACCATCTAATTACATTCAGAGAGTCTCCTTCAATCCAGCAATTGTTACCATAATTCCTATTAATAAAAATCTTCAACCCATTAAGTAGTGCACTAAGTTCAGCATAGTTAGCAGTTGCACACCCTATCGGACCAGCATAAGAAAAAAGGATGTTTCCATAACAGTCACGCGAAACTCCTCCTACTCCGGCTAAATCAGGGTTACCAAAAGAGCTACAATCGAAATTGAGTTTCATGTTACCAACAGGAGGCGCATGCCAAACATGTCTCGGTCTACTTCTAACACAGCCAAGACGAAAAAGATTAGGTAGGTTAGCCATAACATCTACCTTAGAGACATCCCATCCCTCTTTTAACACTGATAGCCACAACCAAATTGAAAGTTTAATAGAATAAAGTATCATGTCAAAGGGCATGAAAGTCCCATCAAAGGTTCTTCTATTTCTTTCTTTCCATATCTCCCACAGTATGACTCTTTTAGCTATCCTCCAAATAATCTTACCCAACTTAGGCAGAGGGAGGGTAAATTGAGAAACTATCCCCCCCACAGATTGGGGAAGCCAAATTAATACCTACAATATCATACAGTCAATACCACAATCTCACCATAAAAGAACAAAAAGATGCGCACCGGATTCACCATCAGCTTTACATAATAAGCACACATTCGGCAGAATTTTTCCCCTTTTTATCAAGTAATCAATTGTCAAAACCTTATTCATAACAGCCAACCAGACAAAAACTTGAACTTTGTGGGGTATCGGCCATTTCCAGACATGAGCAATATGAAGGCACGACCATCTCCATCGATCATGAAAGAGAAGATTGTAACATGATTTAACAATGAAAACACCATCACTCTCAAACTCCCCAACCATCTCATCTTCCGCATTCTGCAAAATATGTATCTTATCTAGCAATTCCATTAATGCACACCATTGAGAAAGTAGTACACTGTTCAAGTGTCTATAGGCCAAGAAAATATTCCAAGAAATATTTTGACCCCTTCCTTTTACAGCTTCACTAACTTTCAGATTAGGCCTCAAGACAATCCCTAACAGTTCTGGGAAAGCTGACTTTAAAGGATACACCCCAATCCACTTGTGATGCCAAAAAGAAATTTGACTGCCACAACCTAAATTCCAGCTGAAATAATCTGAAATCAATAGCCTACAGTGTACAATTGTCCTCCAAATCTGTGATGTATCCATGCCTCTACCACCCCCAAGCCATCCATTGAATCTATCCACACCATACTTGGATACTAGAACTTGATACCACAGGTGGTCCTTTAAATGAAGACTGTGCCACCACCATTTACACATTAAAGCTTGATTAACCAATTTAATCTTCCGTATACCCAAACCGCCTTCTTTCTTTGGGGTACATACTCTATCCCATCTAAGTAAATGAAAGTTTCTTATCTCATTATTTGAACCCCAAAGGAAGTCCCGCATCATTTTTTCAATCTTTTTTGCAATTGAGGCAGACATTTTAATCAAAGACATCTGATATACCAGAAGATTGGCCAGACAAGATCTCAACAAAGTCACCCTTCCACCCAATGACAGATACTTATGCTTCCAAAGGTCCAGTTTTAGTTGGACTCTTTAAATTACTTTATCCCAGACAGCAATGGAGAGTCCTGAGTCAAAAATGAGTAGGCCAAGATAGGTGATAGGAAAAGAGCCCATTTTACACCCCATCATGCCAGCCATATTAGCAATGAATTCCTCATCACAATTAATGCGAGCCGTAGAAGATTTGGTAAAGTTTACGTTAAAACCAAGTGTGACTTCACAAATTTCCAAAAATCTAGTAATATTGCTGACTTGAATGGGATGAACATCGTGGAAAATTAGCGTAGCATCTGCATATTGCAAATGAGAGATTACAATACCAGAATCCGCAATTTTGAAGGCTTTAAAATGACCCACTCTCTCCACTCTGCTTAACATCAAACTGAAACATTCAGCATAAATAGTAAATAAGAAAGGAGAGAGAGGGTCTCCTTACCGAATACCTCTAGAAGCCTTGAAAAACCCAATCGGGCCGCCTTTAAATAACACCGAGAAATGAGCAGATGATAGGCATCTGTAGATCCAATTCCTCCACCTATCCTTGAATCCCATAACTTTCATAATTTCTAACAAAATTTTCCATTCTACTCGGTCATAGGCCTTTTCCATATCTAGCTTCATCAAAATACCCGGTTTCTTAATCAGAACTCTAGAATGGATACATTCTTGTGCTACAAGTACGCTGTCTGTAATTTGGTGATCTTGGATAAAAGCAAATCGGGTACTAGAAATAAGGAGGGGTAGAACAACTTTCAATCTTTCTGCCAAAACTTTTGCAATAATTTTATAAAGGCTTGTGAGTAAACTTATTGGTCTAATTTCAGACAAGTCAAAAATCACAGATTTCTTGGGAATTAGAGCCACATAAGTAGAATACACCCCTTTAAAAATATACCCCCGAATCAAAAAACTTCTAAAAAACTCCAGAAGTTCACCTTTAATCAAATTCCAAAATTTATGGAATAAGGCTAAAGGGAAACCATCAGGACCTAGTACTCTCAAAAAGTGCAAACACTGCCTTATACACCTCCTCCATAGAAACCTCGCGCTCCAAAGTATTCCTCATCTCCATCGACAAAACTTTAAATGGAACTCTAGTAAAAGAAGGTGTAAACTAACTGTTTTGGTGAAAGCCTTCTTAACATGACTAATAACTGCCTCTTCTAGAGTAGAATCATCTTCTAAGTCAATCCCGAGGGTAGACAATCCAAAAAGATCATTTTGTCTCCTTCTAGCATTGGCAATCGCATGAAAATATTTAGTGTTACATTTTGATCTCGATCTTTGCTTCCCATAAATTTCCTCTGATCGATGCAATTCCTCCAACTCTTTAAGTTTCAGACATCGATCCACAACTGATTGTTCTGAAAGCAAACCAGCCAATTGGGTATTATGATCTAACATCTCAATTTCAGATAGGTCTCCATCAATTTTAGCTTTAATATCAAAGTTATTATCTCTCTTCCAAGTAATTAACTTGTATTTGATACTCAAAAGCTTTATGTGCAGTTGAAAGTCCATAGTACCCTCCACAACAGTATTTACCCAGGTTCCTCTAATCAAGTCAATTACATCTTTCTCTTCTGAAATCGGTACAGCCTTGACATAAGCTAAGGAAAATTCCTCCATCCACTCCATTGATATCAAAAATCTATCTAGTTTGGAGATAGATAGATTAGTGATACTATTATTAGACCACGTAAATTTAATTCCAATAATAGGAGGATTCAAAATGGAATAAAACTATTAGACATTCTCATCGAAGTGTTAATAGGTGTACCCACTAAACATTCATCCGGCCACCGTATGAGGTTAAAGTCCCCTCCAACCACCCAAGATAAGAACAAGACTGAATCACAGTGTTTAGATCATTAAGAAAACCTTCTTTAAGAGCATAAAGAGTGGGCCCATAGACATTCAAAAAACCCCAAGAAAAACCAACCTTTGAACCATTGAAACCCAAAAGCAAAAAACAGTCCCTTGTAATAATTTCAAAATCAAGCATAACCAACGGGTCCCAGAGAACCCATAACCCCCCGATGCATCATTAGCATCAATACCACAAAAACCAACAGCATTAGTTCCCCAAATGTCCCGAGCCCCATACACATTGGGACTAGAGAGCTTTGTTTCTTGCAAAATCAAAATAACTGATCTATACTTAGTAACCAGCAATTGAACATCTCAAGTATTCTAATTATATCAATAAAATTTTGCTTTAATCAGACACGATCGATTGTTAAAGCAAGATGTAACTCAAAGGAAAGACTAAAGAACAATATATCCAGATACCAGCAGTGAAACAATTTGTTACAAGCTAACACATAAAAGGGCTTACAAGTATCTTTCTCATCACGAACAGCATAGTTTTTGTCCAATGTTGGAAGCACCAATTTTAAGTTGTTTACCTGCAGTACAAAAAAGAGGAGATTTAAGTTGGACAAACAATTTCATTGGCAAGAATATTCTCATTTGGAATCATCCTTATAAACTACAAATTGCTGCACCACCCGCCGATTTGCCTTTGCAAAAAACACAAATGAAGGGAAATGATCACTTGTATTTTCAATACACAACAACACAGTATATTAAAGTTTTTTGCCCTTTCTTTTCAAAAAACACTTTTTTGTCCTTTCACACTCTCTCCACCCCCTGCTCCTCTCTCTCTCCACCCTTCTTATTCTCTCTCTCTCCTGCACCTTTCTAGGATGAACACCCAAGGTCGCTTTTCATCTTCAAGGCTGCCATCAAAGAGGCTCTTTCATTCTCCAAAACCAATATCTCACTATTTTATTTCCTAAAATTTTAACGCCACGGATTCTTAAAGTAGCAGCTATATGCCCTAAAGAAGCTCTTTCTCTCTCTAGCCCGGCACCCATTCCATTCCTCTCTCTCTCATGTTGGGTGATCTCTTTTATCTTTCTTTAAAACCAGCAGCCAATATACTCTCTCTCTAGTTTGGGGTAGCTTCTTTTGGCTTTTTGAAGAAAACCACCATCACAGAAATGGGTTCAAACTATGTGTAGCAGCAATGAGGTTGCTATAGCAGAGATTTTGAAATTGTGTAGCAGTGACAAGGTTGTCGGTGGATTTCATTCACCATCTAGTGGACGGAAAGGAAGAAGCACCAGAGTCTTCATAAGGAGTGGTGGTTTCATTGGGGGTGCTAAAATGAGGTGTTCTTCACTTTCTCTCTCTGCAAACTTTTGTCCCTTCTGCGCTATTGTGATGGGTGGGAAGGGTCCTCTCAGAGGTTTCAGATTTGGAGCCCTGCCAACCCTTCTCTCCTCCATATTCTCTCTGAAAGTGAGTTGAAGACACCAAAATAAGGGTTTTCCATTGCTGGTTTTTGTCTCTTTGTGGTTTTTTATCACTGTTTCTGTCTCTTTGTGGTTTTTTGATTGCTGGATTGTATGCTCTTTTTGTAGCTACAAACAGGGGATTTGTGGGTTTTTCATTACTAGTCTGTATGATATGGCTAGAAACGGGGAAGAGAGAGAAAAGGCGAGGGTTTTACGAGGGAATGAGAGAAATGGCAAAATAGTAAAAATGGTTCCCCATAAAAACCTAAGAATGGTTCCCGACTTAATAGGCCCCCAGATCTTTATGATTTGCAGAATGGATGGTTCAAAATTGCCATACACCCAACATGGTGTATGTATAATACTTTTTCCCATGATATTTAGCAATCCATAATATTATAGTTATTATTGAGCTTGAGGAAGAAGAAAGGAAAAGAACATTCAAGCACAATGATTGAGTAAAAATATGGATGTACATCCTCATTGTTTAAATCATGGGGCAATGTGCCCTATAATACACATGTATCCATGTGGGGTTACAATAAAGTAAGCATGCACATAGGTCAGAGCTATTAAGGTGTCCAAATACAGTAGGATACAGTACAAAGGACCTTAGTTAATTTTGGTATAGATGAATTTCTAATAATGTGAGGATTGTCCTTAGCCAACTTGTTACAGATTTAGTTTCCAAGAATGTGAGGATTCTTAGTCCATGTGCCTTAGCACTAGATTACACAAGATAGATATAATTTCACTCAACATGAAACCTGATATGAGCGGCAAGTTCGTTGCTTACAAACCTAGGAGCTTACTTAGAAGCCTTAGATACATTGTCAGGTAGTGAACTCCAGGTGGTAGGTTTTTCCAAGATAGTTTGTTCCAAAATGGCAATGCAATTATCTTCTAATAGCAATTCCCTTCCTCCCTGAACCCCCTCTCTCTTGATACATATATATATATATATATATATATATATATATATATATATATAGTAGATACTA